CTTTGTCTGCTCCGCAATCCCCGTGTTTTTTTTTGTGTTGTGACACGCGCGTTTCCCGTGTTGTGCTCTCTTTCATGTGTTGTGTTTCACGCGTTCCCTACATTGTATTCCACGCGTCCCATGTTTTCTGTGTTCACTGTGATCTATTGCTGTGGGACGAATTGTGGTCATGCTACCTAGAGCGCCAGCGCGGACCCAGCTGTGTGCACTGGGTGACAGTCCGCATCTCAGACGGGAACAGCTGGTGGCAGCTTGCATTTCCGAGGTGGCAAAACGAGCTGGTGGCAGCCGCTGGGGAGCTGATCGCTTTGGCTAATCACCTCTACCAATCAGTGGTCTCATATACATAATTGTGATCTCGGGAGCCCTTTGTTTTCGGATGGTGTTATTCAACTTGAATTCGGGAGCAGAAAATTTGTTGTGGTGACTGAGCCAGCGGGCGGGGGTGAATGATTGCAGGATTGAATGGACAAATCATTTTACCCAACCCATTTCTGTTAGCCTGGAGTCCTCACATCTTGGAACATTCTCAAACATCAGGATCAGGTGTAACAGATAACAAAAAAGTCCCATGTATTTTCTAGAGCTCCTAAAAAGTTGGATATCAATAAGATGCCCCGTAGCAGCGATAAAGATTAATTGTAATTGACCCCTGCCATTTGAGAACTTAAATTAAGCGCATCGATATTTCTCGCGTATCAAAAAACAAATGCTCTAGGGACGCATGAAGACGTCTTTAAGGATCAAGGAGAACGCTGGTCTGAAAAACACATTTAAGTTACTGGGAACGCTCTCGGGAAAAGAGGAAAACCTCAGCAGCGTTTCTGACAAACAGCCGAGACGCTGCGAAGCTCATATGACGACTGGTCCAAAAAGAGAATCTTCCAAAACGGAACTTTGTAGGTGCGGTGTTTCGGGTGATTTGATTCATAACGTATTTGGGTAGGCCCGGATTGCATTAAGGGGTGCATGTCGGACTTTTACAAGTATCATTGGCACCATTTCCCTTTGAAATCTTTAGCAAATATCCTCGTCCGCCATTGGTCCTCAGAGTGAGGTAAAGACCAGGATAAGGAGCTTTGCACCCGGCTCGAAGGCATTCGGGGTTCCCTGAATGGAACAGCGTTCGTATCCAAGTATTCCGTAGTCGGAAATGCGATGCTTCAAATTTTACAGGTGATAATCTTGGTTTTGAAAAAAAAAATCATACTTTAGAAACTAGTTGGTACTTAACAGAAGCATACTGATTCAACCACTTCACTGGTCAGATCAGGTCACGCAGGAGGCCTCCGACAGTCCGTGCCGATCATGATGTGGTCGCATAGCAGCGTGATGGCTTCTCACTAATGGTGGTGATCGGTCCAAGCAATGCGTGTGCCATGCCGTGACCGCCGGTCCAAGCCAACATTGGCGACGTGTTATTTCAGTGTCATTAAGAGCTACTTGAAGCTAGGATAATGTAGATATTCAGAAGGAGTTTATGAATAATTGGAGTCGTCGTCTCGTGCTGGTCGCCATGTCAGTTCTTGTTAATGCCTTGTGGACAGCATAACCTGCTCCTGTGCACATAGCGACAATGGTATCCTGGGTGAGCATTCATGAAGCGTTTCCTCCCGTGTGAATCCTGCATAGATGACGATTACTGAATGGTTATCAACTGAAGAAGAGCGGTCAATAGGCATGGGCTGCACATGTTCTGTTCTTTTCGGTTCATGACGCCCGAGACCGGTTTCTTTTACATCAGCCCTACTAACACGCTGTGGGCGGCCTTGTCCCCCCTCCGTCTCTAGTTTCACTTGTGCACTCCAAGCCATTTTAAGCAATCGTTCTGAAACTTCGTGACTTGTTCTAAAAACGTAATTGGCAGAAGTACTCAAAATTTTAGGTTTCTACGTCACCCATTGGCGACTGCAGAAAGGTTTCTGGGAGACATGCCAGGACGACTCTCACAATTTTCAAAGCTTACGTGCCATCCACGGCTCTTCGATGTCGTCGGCCCGATGGATGACAGAGGTGAGTTTTAACACGCTGTCTTGCATCTAAGCTGACCACATTCAGGTGATGAGTGATGCATGTGAGATGTCAGTGACGAATCCGGGAAAGGAATGGACGAGGTTTGGGTGCTCAACCGCCCAGGTGAGCCATGCTCAACGGCTTGTGAAAATATTGCAATCCTGCTGGAAGAAACTGTGAAAAGCGTTCAGTAACAAATCGCACTTCGACAGCACATATCACATGCCCAACTGTCACGATAACATGCAATATAGGCGACCCTAGATAGCGGCATTTTTTGGAGGTACGAGTGACATTTATGTTGAGAATAGATGTCGACAAATATGGTTAAAGTCTTCCTCTCTGACGCGCAAGTTATCACGTTTTCTAAGATGGTCTGTCCATTGTCTTGCTACGATGGTCTGTCCATTGTCTTGCTACGATGGTCTGTCCATTATCCTGCTTCTTCGGCTCTGTGCTTCTGACGAAACCTTTTAATGGCGGAGTCAGGCAACCTAAAAAGGAGTGGGCTGTTTCTGTACTGAATGGCTTTTGCACGCCAGCGTATAATTTTTTATTAGCGGCCTCCTCCGACAGTCAAATACCTGCTACCTTTTTCCGCTACATAACGGTTTCAATTATCCGTCACAGTAGCTCAGTTGGCTAGAGTGTCTGCTTCCTAACAAAGTCGTGGCGGGGCCCCTGTGGTTCTGCTCGCTGTGATGCTCACTATTTCCCGTTGGCTGGGATGACTTCTGGCCAATGGCAGTGATCGCTCGAGGTCAGATGAGGCTAGAGGGAAGTGTCAAGCATTATGGTGCGTTAACCTTCCGCCCCGAATTCTGCCGTTTAACTGAGTTTTATGGTTGCATGGTGGGGTCACGGCTCAGTCAACGACCTCTGCCCCACGTGGGTTCATCCCAGAAATGCGCGTCATCAAAATGCTGGACCATCTTTTTTAGCACTGTTACACCGCCACTGGAAAAATAGCTTTCTGATGTGTTCTCACCAGCTTTCCTGCGTTCTAAACCATATTAGGCATCGTAGCGTTGTTAGCGCTGAAATACTGCAACTTAAATACATGTGCTTATGCTCCCCCTCTTTGCAGATATCCGAGTCCGTATACTAACATTTTGAAGCCGTTTGTTTTTGTTATCTCTTTATTTCTGTTACGATAAGCATTTGTAGACATCTCTACGCAAGCGACAACGTAAGCATAGACATTTGAGAAGCATCAATCATAAATGAAATCTGCGCCTGCCCCAACTGCATGTTCTTGCACACGCTCCAGAGACAATAACGGCTAAGGTGTATCGTGTATTGCTCGAGATAGATAAAGTTAAGATAAGTCGCAGCTGTGCCCAAAGAGCCTGCAAACCACCTTGAACATAAATGATTCAAGAGTGAAAAGATAGTCTGCAAAAGGGTTGCAAAAGTCATAAAGCCAGAGACAAACCATGTCGTCACTTGAGTAGCAAAAGATCGAGTGACACAGCGACAAGAACAAAGTACAGGCCAAATCGAGCAAGCGCTGTATCGTCGAGACTAAGCGGGGCCGAAAAGCTCAGCAGTTATATGCAAAATTAGCATGACAAACGCTCCATTGATGTGTTATTCGTGTAGCAACTAAAATAGATGTCTGGAATGTGAATGATTTAAAACTGTCCGCTTTTCCTAGAGCGCCCTGCATAATTCGAAACAGAAACCCAGACAGCCAGGTAGTCGCCGATGTCCAGAGCAGAATATTTATTGTTTGGGCGCAAACTGAATGGAATTAAAGTAAACACATATGGAATGTTTTTCATATATGAATACCAACAACGAACGGTTTTTCGTGATTTTATGGCACAAGACAAATTTAACCTATTCGACCAAAATCGCGTTACGTTCACACTTGAACTGCAGTATGTTAGAAAGGTGTCCTGAGTTGGGTTCAAGCTGAATCGAATATCGAGCCAAGTGCCAAACGTTTCAATGTGAGTCGTGAGCTGTGTCGATTCAGCTGTAAAAATTCGTTTCTGACATGAACTGAATCGATATTTTTGCGACAAGAATACAAGCGATGTCACCATAGCAACGCTAAGCCATAGCAAGTCGACCATAGCAGATCGACCATAGCAACGCTAAGCCGGTAATAAATCACATGCCTCGTTAAAAATGGCAAATGTTCGTCTGTCGACAGCGTAACCGATGTTCCGTTCCGTATGCAACTAAAATTCCGGTGCTCATTAATTATAACGTCATCTCTTAGACACCCTGCCTCGTGCCTAGTCAAGGACCAATGCAACAGACAGACATCATTTGCGGCCTATACACCCTAAAGCTCCTCGTGAATACACATCCCGCCACACATTATAGAACAATAGCACTGTTTTATATAAACTGCGTTGAGCATTGGATACGATTTGTCCTTCCTCTCACCTCGCTCTCAAAACTGCGTTGAGCATGGGATACGATTTGCCCTTCTCTCTCGTCTCCTCTCTTCTCTCCTCTCTCTCTGCTCCTCCTCGCTCTCTCGCTCTCCTCTCTCACATCTCGTCTCTCTCTCTCTCCTCTCTCTCTCTCTCATCTCCCTTCTCTCACTCTCTCTCTCTCTCTCTCTCTCTCGTCTCTCTCTCTCTCTCTCTCTCTATCTCTCTCTCTCCTCTCCTCTCTCTCTCTCTCTCTCTCTCTCTCTCTCACTCGCTGTCCCACTTCTTATTCATTTGTTGCCATCGCACGAAGAACCGAGTCTGTCATGAAGTGTTTTTTTCCCGTGCTGTTACAAGTGTAGTGCACAGTCAAGATATTTTGCGAGGCTGCTATTTGATGTGGTGGAAGTCCATTCCATTAATCTTTAGATCGAGCAAAACCATTTTACTTTGACCCAGACAGCAGTTGTTTCGGAGCACGAACCATATCAGGCAGCAAAACATAGTAAACATAACGGCAGAGAACTACGCATTCGCATGTGCTTTCCAGAAAACTCACCATAGTCGCGTGCCCTTACCGTCTGTGTCTTTTTCCAGCTTTATGGCCGTCGTCATCTGCCTCATCTTTAGTGTGTTGTCCACCATCGATCAGTATCAAGCGTTCGCCATTGAAACCCTCTTTTGGATGGTGAGTAGAACCGGGGACGATGTTGCAGAGAAAGTATGGCATAATCGTTGAAAAAATCAATCCGCTGCTCCGCTGAACCTATTTTTGGTGCGTTCCTAACTCTTGATGCCTAGTCCACAAGCTACATAAAAGCTTGTGGACCATTTTCACTTTGTCTTGAATAGCTCCATTATTGGCCCTCGCGTTCGCACTGTCAGCGGAAGCAGTCGGTACAATATGGCTACGAGCTTGTGAATTCCGGTTCTACGCAAATGTGCTTACGTGCATCCACGTCCCAGGCCGAATGAGAGTCCTCTAATTTCACTTTATTTCATTGCAGGAGCTAGTGTTGGTCACGTTTTTTGGTGTGGAGTACTTTGTCCGACTCTGGTCTGCTGGGTGTCGCAGCAAGTATCGCGGCATCTTCGGCAGAATTCGGTTCGCAAGAAAACCGATATCCATCATCGGTAAGTGCTTGCTCAGTGTGATGCTACGAGCCGCTGCTAACGAAAACTGACACACTCCAACTGAGTGAACACGATTTGGGATTGTTTTATTGGATTCCGGATTAGAAACATTTGCGCTTTGAGAGCCAGTACCAGCTCTTCTCAGAGCGAGAATAGTCCCATAGCGCCAGAGGCGTCTGGGAGCGTACTGGAATTACGACAGCCGACGCTGGGTGTTCTGCACTGGGCGCCCCAAAGTCCGGGTGGAGTGAAATACGACCGAGGCCTTTTTCGCCGTTCGGCCGAAACCTCTCCAATTTAAACTGGACGCAACATAAAAGGGAAGAGGAACTGCAGTCATTTGAACCAGAAATGCGCAGTTCGTGATCTTCACGTTTCTCGTAAAACGTGTTGTGGTGTAGCTAGGTTGATGAAACCACGAGATGTAGCAGGAGGTTGCGCCGGCTCGAGTGTTCTGTACGTTGTTTCAGAAAGAAAGGCGGGGAAAGGTGCAGGGTCAGAGAGGTGAGATCTGGGGAAGAATAAAATGGAGTAATTGAAGGATAGATGGACAGATGGACAAATATAAGAGACAAAGGCAGAGGGAGGGAGAGAGAGGGAGAGAGAGAGAGAAAGAGAAAGAGAGAGAGGGGGAGGGAGAGAGAGCGAGAGAGAGAGAGAGAGAGAGGGGAGAGACTGATGAGAAGAGACAGAAAAGAAGAGAGGGAGTTTTCAGCTGTTTATTTGGAGCACATTCAACCTGGATGTCAGCACTTCAGCCACATTTCGTTGCTTTTGAGAGGCGGAGAGTTTTTCCAGATATTGGAACAGGGACACAGTGTGAGCACTATGTATGTAGATGAAGCCATTCGCATAATCCCTGGGGTAAAATGGCTTTGCCTAATGCTGGTCGAGCGCCGGCTCTTAATCCTTCATTTAAGTTTTGTCCGAGAACGCATCATATTAAAAATATCTCTCCAGTAGTATCCACTAAGCATTAAAGCACGTATTGTGCCGCTGAATTACTGTGTCCGTTTTTCAGAAATATGCGACCAAATACCCCCATAAACCTTGCATAGTTTGAAAGCATGCTAAAGTTACCTTTATCGTCACTCCATTCGTCAACAACAAGGAGCAACAATTACCTGCAGCGGTGAAAAGGCTTTGGACCGCCAGCACCCTTTGCCAGCACCACGTATGCGAAACCTCAATCCAAAAACCATACATGCCCGCCTCATCCTTCTCATTGGAACTGGTACTAATCGACGGCAAATCAACCCTTTACTTTAAACTACGCTTAGTGGGGATTACAACCGAAAATAACGTTAGCAAATCATCCGATCAGACTTATAAAACAAAGGCACCTGTACGTCCGCACAGTGTGTAACATGTTGGTGCACCGCGCCTGCCAGACTTACCGTCGGGTATGCGGGCATGGAGCGACAGCGAACATAGCCACTCGCCTGTGCCGGGGTCCATGGCCGTGTGCTCTGATTGAGCGGACGGTGCGGGGACTCCTGTGCGGAAGTGTCGTTTGACGCCTGTAGTTGGTCCGGTTATTAAACCCGTGTCGAAAGCTGAGCCCGATCAATGACACTGTTCGATCAGTCGCCAGCGATCGGCCAGGACGCGTCACGTCACGCCGTAACGCGCGGATGCGGCGCGTCACGTGTCACGGCCGGCGGCGAGCGTGTTGTGTCACCAATCAGTGCCCCGGAACTCTGGGTCACGAAAGGGCTGTGTCATGCCGCGACGAGAGGTGACGTCGCCACACGCAGGATGTGGCAGCGGCGAGCCACATCCAGACAGTGGCCTGGTGCATTCGGCGCTAGTTCCGTACACCAGGAACACTGGCATGGCTCGACATGATGCGACGGCGGAACGACGGAGCAGGGGTCGTTTCGCACGTGTTCACGCGGTGTGCGCGCTCTCCGCTTCCGATCTCCGCCCTCACCACGACCAGTGGTAGTCCACGTCGATGAGCGGCGGGCTTCCTCTACACGTGCGGCCTTAAAGTGATGTCTCGGCGTCACAAAAGCTATTGGAGCTCGACGCTCGATAGAGACGCCACCGAACGAGCCGGTTTAGCTATAGATTTTCGCACTACGAGCTCATCCGTCTGGGGAGCCATTCTCACGAAGACTTACTGTCCAAAATTGCTAACCGTTTTAGAATGGTGCCGGGCATCCCATATGCATGTTCACGATCCTGAGTCAGGTATGGAGTCCAGATTTCCGACACGTAGCAGTCGCCCGCGAGGAGCAAGAGAGCCCTTCGGCGCCGGCACAGACGACTGTTCAGAGGTGAGGCACCAGAGACAGACTTTCCAGCGGATGATCCGGCAGCTAGAAGGATGGCGGCGCTCCGCTGTGAAGTGCTGTTTGTCGGGCGGAAATGGTTTGCGCTATCGGTGATGTCGCTGCCATAAGTCCGACAGCCCAGCAAATCGGGCTGCTCCTCCGATTGCCAATTGCAGTAGGTCTGAGTGGGCCCAATGGCAAAGGCCACGCGACCATCCCCGAGACGGAGCGCTCCACTGCCGAAACACGGCAGCTTCATCCGCCGTCGGCGCCGGAGGCCGACGTCAGGGCGGGCCGGGATGGGAGCGACCGGCGGTGAGTTCAGACGGACGGCGTACCGACCCAGAGGGAGCCGGTAATCCACGGACACGGGAAAGCTCCCGGACGAGACTGAGCTGAGGCAGCGCGGACACTGCGGTAGCGGCGCTGCTCTCGCTAGAGCAGCGGCGAGCACACCAAGCGAGCCCAAGCAGGCCAAAGAAAAACAGCCATAAAAGGGACAGAGGCAAACAATCTTTTGGGTTGGAAATCCAGCCTAAACTGACCCGTGAGGTTCATCAGTTTACATCACCCAGTTTGCGCTTTGAAATCTTCTTCAACACGCGCCCGGGGAAGGGGGGTCAAATTGTCCCCCTCCCCGAGAGTTTTTCCGCAGTGATGTCCGAATGGCGTCGCGCAGCGGCGCCAAATTTTGATAGCGGTAGACAGCTGAATAGTGAATCGTGCGGTATTAGGAAGTTGGCCGTACCTTGTAAGGTCAATGACCAACGGCAGGTCAAAGTCAGGTCATGGATTCAGCGAAGTCAATTTCAAAGGAATCGTTCAATCTGATGGAGCAGCAGAGTGTTGGACGAAGCCTTACATCTCTGAGATACTTTCTTAAGCCACATAACAATTGAATGACAGAATTCCATTGACCTAGGGTCAGATGTGAAGGCCAAACTAAGGTCATAACCAACTTATTTTATCACTCTGGGGCTTCCTGTTTGGGGTAGTTTCTGGTGCTCATTTTGAATTTATTGATTACAAGAACCACATTAGATATCTTTCATGGAATTCTTACAGGACAGAATAGGCCACTGACCTAAAATGACCCAGGTCAACATGTCACTTTTAGAAACATACTGCCTAGCTTAATCTTTGTCGCGTACTCAAATGCAAACTCTGAGCAGCATTCCATGATTTTGGTTACCACAAGGTTGTAAGGGTCAAACAAGGTCACTGACCTTGAATGAGCATGGGCCCTTTTCCTTAGAACGGGTATCTGGGTTCTGGGGACACTTTGGAGGCCAAATTGTAGTTTGACCTTGTTTGACCTTATTTTGCCCAAATGTCATGCCCTAAGACGCTTAAACTTCGACGTAAGTGAGTTCACGTGCAGATCAAGACACTCCGTGAATTTGGTGTCTCTATCCCTCTTAATGTCTGAGATCTCAGGGGGTCAAAGAGACCCTCCCCACCCGAGCGAACGATATCCAACCGGCCACCCGTGCGCGTGTTAAGAGCGATTGAGGAAAAGTTTGTTCCTTTGGTATTCGAAACGTGGGCTGAAATGAATTGGATTGAAACAAACGGCTGATCTCTTAAAATCCGGACCAGTTTTAAGGTTTCGTGTTATCAATATGTTCTGTGATGGAATAATAGCTATGCAACCAATCTGTAGCAAAATTAGCAAACATGTCGTGAATAGAAACTATTGCATGCGAAGCAAAACAGAAGGAGGCGCCATAAATGTTACGGAGATCAGGGCTCAAGATGGCGCAGATGATCAGACAGCAAGCTCTGGAGCTGAACGTTGGGCGTATGGAAAACGTAACGATAAATCAACTAGGTTTGCAAGTAATCTCATTTTGGCAATTTAGGTTTTTAAAGCACTGTTCATGTGTTCAGTCCTCGAGCTCGATATGTTCAGTCCTCGGGCTCGATATGTTCAGTCCTCAGGCTCGATGATGAGGACTAAGCCATGAAACACAGTGGAATGGCAAAATGTCGCGTGCAATGACGGAGTGAATGAAGAAAAGGGTAGCGAGAGCCGAAAACGTCAGTGACTTTTCCAGAGTAGTCGCACGAGAAGAGTTTGGCGATGCCACTCATTCATCGACGAAACCTCCTGGAGGCTGTACCAGAGATAAGACACAGAAGCCTCAGCTAACTAACGAGCAAGAAAAGTCTCGGAAAACTCAGACTGCCCGTCTCTACAGAAATGCGTTATCTGTCATCGGTATGACAGACGTTACCCCAAGGATGACAAGGCACGCTTATCATATTGCGGAAGTGATATGCCCTGCACTAATGGTTTTATGGCTAGCCTTAGGGGGATACCCCGAACTATGTTTAGTTCAAACACGCCTGAAAATTATCGAGAAAGATAATATCCTGGATAGTTCTCGGCGGGGGTCTAAATTCCTTTTCAGGTGGGGCTACTTCAGACCCCACCCGCGGTAACTTGAAAGTTTGGCTGAGTCATTTTCAGTGTTAAGCCTCCCCCAACTCATTTCGCAAAACCACGCTCCTGATCATCAGCACTAGTGATATCGCGAATCCAACTTTCTGCAGGAGTATGGTGACCAAGCTCAATGGAGTGTTCTGCCAAGAAAAGTGCACCAAGGGAAAAGAATACCGTTTTTATGCGGACCATCCTGAAAACTATTATGTGGTCCGGTCAGGTTTGGTAACGATACACTATGCGAGTGCGGCACCTGTCCCCCTCAATGAGCTGGT